TATAGGAATGAATTCAATTGTCTCTGATCCCATCTTCCTGATGAAACCAAGCTATGGAATTGGCCTCCCCCTTCTGGGCATCAAATCTAACCTCATTCAACTTCCAAATCCTTGATCAGTTCTGAAACAAACAAACCAACAAAACACATGAGTTTAAACCCAACAAGTACAACTCGTACTTGCTTTTTTACGAGAGTTAAATACCTCAGTGGCTTCTGCAGGCTTAGCCTGTTCTTCCTTGGGTTCGTCGGTTTTGATGTTGTCATCTCCTGAAAACAAAACCATGTCTTAGCTCAAGTAAACCATGTTTATGTTATATCATATCAGGATGTTTGATTTGCAGACAGACCTCCATCTTCAGGAAGATCAGAAGTCCAGAGGGTGAGGTTGTCTCTCAGGAGCTGCATAATCAAAGTGCTGTCCTTGTACGATTCCTCACTTAGAGTATCCAACTCCGCAATCGCCTCGTCAAAGGCTTGCTTCGCCAAATGGCAAGCTCTGCAACAGTTGTCGAAACACCACATTACAACACACCTGATGGTATTTCATTTAGGAATTAATGTTTTTCTATAAATGAGTGGAACCTTTCAGGAGAGTTCATGATCTCATAGTAGAAAACAGAGAAGTTAAGCGCAAGGCCAAGACGAATCGGGTGGGTCGAAGGGAGCTCAGTGCTTGCAGCTTGTGTTGCAGCCTAATCAAGAAGATAGATCCATCAGACCAAAAATCTCCTAATCATGCATGTTACAAGTGTTTAAGAAAGAAGAACATATAGAGATACCTCATAGCCTTTGAGCGACTGTTCAGCAGCTTCCTTCCTCTCTTGCTCGGTCTTAAACTCAGCCAAGTAACGGTAATAATCTCCTTTCCTACAAAGTTTCAGAATTGAAACTGAATTTCATTGGCAGATGATGATAATGCAAAGATAATTTGAGTGTTTGATTTGTGTGATCACATCTTGTAATAGAAAACGGTGGCTTCTCCCGAGGTAGCGTGAGGGATGAGATGCTGATCAATGATGGAGAGAATGTCTTGACAGATATTGGCAAGCTCATCTTCTACCTTTTGGCGATAACCTTTGATGTGTTTGACATTTGATTCGTTGCCTTTGGACTCTTCCTTCTGTTCGATCGAAGACATTATCCTCCACGAAGCCCGTCTTGCTCCGATCACGTTCTTGTAACCAACCGACAACAGATTCCTCTCTTCCACCGTCAGCTCACTGTTCACCCTCGCCACTTTCTTCATCGTCTCCACCATCTCTGCAAACATTATTATATTTTTAGCAAAGACATATTTGTAACTTGGACATGAAGATGATGTTTTTAGGACATATATAAGAGATGACTGATTACGTACCGTCGTATCGCTCGGCTTGTTCGGAGAGCTTCGCCATGTAGACAAAAGTCTCTCGCTCTTTGTCGGATCCTGATGACATTTTTGTTGTGTCGAAAAACAGAGATCTTGATGATTTCTAGGGGTTTGTTTTTGTGATTTTTGGTGAGTGAGATAAATGGAAGAATAAGAAATGATTGGAAGAGATAAGAAAGGAGGGAAAGAGGGAAGAAATATATAATAAGAGATTTGAAGAAGGTTCGTAAATGGCGGAAACAAGACTGAATCTCAACCTTTAGATCCGACGCGCCTAAGTGTCTGCGCAATTCCTGGCTTTTTCTTACCCCATTATTTCTAACTAACTTAACGAACTTTTCGCGAACCTTTTTCTCGTTTCTTTATATTGTTTTAGTTACGATTATGTACGTCGATGGGGTTGTAGCTCAAATGGTAGAGCGCTCGCTTTGCATGCGAGAGGCACGGGGTTCGATCCCCCGCAGCTCCACTTTTTTTCTTTTTTTTTTACTCTCACACTCAATTTACCCTAATTTTCCTTCTTTTTAAAAATGTTTTTTAGTTACCCTTTTTGGTTTTCTCGGAAAACTTATGGCCATCGCCGTCGTTCCTTATCGGAGGATCGGAAACCCGATTCGGCGACTCTTCTTTCTCCACCGCCGATTCGCTACCGAGTCGACTGTACCGAAACTATCACGAACGACCATCACGCCGGTAAACCAAGAGCATCTCCTCCGCGTCTGTACAATCCTCTACCAGCAGCAGAACTCTCCTGATTCACGGCTCGTCTCGAAGCTTTCTTCCACCGGATTTCAACTCACCCACGAGTTCTTCCTCCAAGTCTGCAACAATTTCCCACTCTCATGGCGTCCGGTCCATCGCTTTTTCCTCTACTCGCAGACTCACCACCCAGATTTTGCCCACACCTCAACCACCTCTAATAAGATGCTCGGAATCATAGGGAAATCGAGAAACATAGATCTTTTCTGGGAAATGGCTCAAGAGACAGGGAAACTCGGATTGGCCAACGATAAGACGTTTCGGGTCGTCTTGAAAACACTTGCTTCTGCTAGAGAGCTGAAGAAATGCGTCCATTTTTTCCATTTGATGAACGGTTTTGGTTACTCGTACAATATGCAAACGATGAATAGGGCTGTTGAAACTCTGTGTAAGGAGAAGCTCCTGGAAGAAGCTAAGTTTGTTGTTACTAAGCTGAAAGAGTTTATCAAAGCCGACGAGATGACTTACAGAACCATGATCCAAGGGTTTTGCGATGTGGGTGATTTGATCCAAGCCGTAAAGCTTTGGAATTTGATGATGGATGAAGGATTCGAGGTTGATATCGACGCTGGTAAAAAGATCATGGAAACACTTCTCAAGAAAAACCAGTTCGATGAAGCTTCAAAGGTCTTTTACGTGATGGTTTCGAAAATGGGTGGAGATTTGGATGGATCTTTCTACAGGGTTATGATCGATTGGTTGTGTAAAAACGGCAGGATTGATACTGCGCGTAATGTGTTCGACGAAATGCGTCAGAGAGGTATTCAGGTGGATAACTTAACTTGGGCGTCCATAATCTATGGGCTCTTGGCTAAACGAAGAGTTGCAGAGGCTTATAAAACGGTCGAGGCGATTCAAAATCCGGATATTAGTATCTATCATGCATTGATAAAAGGGATGTTGAAGATTAAACGGGCGAGCGACGCAACAGAGGTTTTCCGGAAGATGATACAGAGAGGGTGCGAGCCGACAATGCATACATATCTTATGTTGCTGCAAGGACATTTGGGGAGAAGAGGAAGGAAAGGACCAAACCCGTTGGTGAATTTCGATACTATATTCGTTGGAGGGATGATTAAGGCGGGGAAACGGTTGGAAACTACTAAGTATGTTGAGAGAACAATGAAGAGAGGGCTTGAAGTTCCTAGATTTGATTATAGCAAGTTCTTGCATTGTTATTCTAATGAGGAAGGTGTGGTTATGTTTGAAGAAATGGCCAAGAAACTTAGAAAAGTGAACTTGTTTGATCTGGCGGATATATTCCAGAGGTACGGAGAGAAAATGACTACTC